GAGATCAAAGGCTTCAACAACACCAGGGGAAAATGGGAAGAGAGAACAGAATTGACAATAATGAAAAGAAAATAATGGGTAAGTACGATAGCTTGTACATAGCTTGAATTGAGCAGAGACGTAGATAAATGTTAAAATCACTCGAGAGATGGAGAGGAAGAGAGAGAGAGAGAGAGAGAGAGAGAGGAGAGAGAGAGAGAGAGAGAGAGAGAGAGAGAGAGAGAGAGAGAGAGAGAGAGAGAGAGAGAGAGAGAGAGAGGGTGAGTGAGTGAGTGAGTGTGAGAGAGAGAGAGAGAGAGAGAGAGAGAGAGAGAGAGAGAGAGAGAGAGAGAGAGAGAGAGAGAGAGAGAGAGAGAAGAGAGAAGAGAGAGAGAGAGAGAGAGAGAGAGAGAGAGAGAGAGAGAGAGAGAGAGAGAGAGAGAGAGAGAGAGAGAGAGAGAGAGAGAGAGAGAGAGAGAGAGAGAGAGAAGAGAGAGAGAGAGAGAGAGAGAGAAAGAGAAGAGAAGAGAAGAGAAGAGAGAAGAGAGAGAGAGAGAAAGAGATAGAGAGAGAGAGAGAGCAACAACAAACAGAAAAGAGAAAGTAAGAGCTCGCACAAGGAAGCCAACCTGAGCGGGCAGGGGCGTGGGCGGGCCGGACCCAGCCGCTGTCTCCGCCTGCGTCTGGGACCGAAGCAGCGGGCGGGCGGGCGCGGAGAGCCTGGAGGCCGCGGAGGTCGGGCGCGAAGGGGCCGAGGTGGGGCGCGAGGCCGAAGAGGGCGGCCGGGAGGAGGCGGAGGTCGGGCGGGAGGACGACCCCCGCCGCTGAGGGCCTGCCGCCGCGCTCATTGCTGTGGGGGGAGGAGGGGGGGGAGGGTGAGCAGAAGCAGGAGGAAAGATCGTCTCACACAGACACATGTACACCACCCCCGCTCCCACAAGCACACACGGACGCACACGCACACTCATATGTATCTACATCCCACTAAATATATACTCTTTATCGGATACACCTGAAATATAGAGCAAACCATTTCCAATTTACCTACATTTTGGCAATAAGACATGCAGAAAAAGGCGTCTGCTTAATGTTGCAAGCAAAATGCACTCTACACGTTAAAACACACTCACTAAGTAACCGAACTACCCACCCTTCTACATTTTCTCTGAGCGGTTGATAAATATACTAAATCACTTTCAATGTATTTCCATTGTTTTTATAACTTGCACTGCGTTCGTTCACTACAATAAATCTCCAGCTCACCGGATTTCTAACTTGGGGTTTATGTATACTTTTCATATACGAGAGTAAACAAACACACGTGAATCTGCACTTCTACAGAAACACGTGCTATTAGTTACTTAGCAGCTTGATGATCTACACACTAATAAAGACACTCCTACGGCGACGCTCCTCCATTTCAGAGCCGTGCGAAAGGAGTGTCTCAGGTCATATGGTCATATGAGGTGGATTTCTATTGTTTCAACTGGAGGATTCTCTCTCTCTCTCTCTCTCTCTCTCTCTCATTTTTTTTTCTCTCTGTCTGTCTGTCTGTCTGTCTCTCTCTCTCTCTCTCTCTTCTCTCTTCTCTCTCTCTCTCTCTCTCTCTCTCTCTCTCTCTCTCTCTTCTCTCTCTCTCCTCGCTCCCTCCTCTCTATTCTATATATATCCACTCATGCCTATCTATTCCTTCTCTCTCTCTCCTCTCCTCTGACTTCCCCCTTTCTATCCGTCTACCTATCTCCCTACTCCTCGTACTCTCGACCTCTGACCTCTGGCACTCCACCTGAAGGAGAATCTCGATGGGCGGATGGAGGAGCCGGCACGAGGAGCAGCTTCTTCGACTCCTGCAGGTCGTCGTCGTCTCCTGCTGCCCGCTGGATCTCGTCGTCGAGGCTCTCAAGGTTCCAGGGTGTCGTGGGGCGACTCGGGGGGTTGGGGAGGCATTCTGGGGGAGGTGGGAGGGGGGTGAGTGAGAGATTCGGCTGATGTACTAGAAGCGGCTGCTCTATTAAAGATTTTTTATTCTATTTTATCATTATTATTTTTTTTTTTGTAATTACAATATAATTGCATTTAGACTTGGGCTGATACGTAATATCGTACATTAATAGTTGAGACATATTCATACGTGTATATATCATATAAACATATCAACGTGTTATACATTAAAAATATATATACAAAAATGTAAAAAAAACATACCTGAGATGACACAATAGCAATACCGTTACCTCCAGCCCGCCCACACTCTCGGGTATGTGCGTGGGCGCGGGGTACCGAAGGCGTGCGGGTGAAGTGCCTGGTGAGAGCAGCCAACCACCCACTACTGGGCATGCCGCCTGGGGGAAAAAAGGGTTTGTTTAAATTTTTGACAATTAGAATTAAAGATACATAACGTTCAGTTTCCTTTTCTTCGGTGAACTCCGGCATGGTGTGTGTGTGTGTGTGTGTGTGTGTGTGTGTGTGTGTGTGTGTGTGTGTGTGTGTGTGTGTGTGTGTGTGTGTGTGTGTGTGTGTGTGTGTGTGAGAGAGAGAGAGAGAGAGAGAGAGAGAGAGAGAGAGAGAGAAAGAGAAAGAGAGAGAGAGAGAAAGAGGGAAAGAGAGGGAAAGAGAGAGAGGGAAAGAGAGAGAGGGAAAGAGAGAGAGGGAAAGAGAGAGAGAGAAAGAGAGAGAGAGGAGAGAGAGAGAGAGAGAGAGAGAGAGAGAGAGAGAGAGAGAGAGAGAGAGAGAGAGAGAAGAGAGAGAGAGAGAGAGAGAGAGAGAGAGAAGAGTAGATAGACAGAAAATATACAAGCATAGGCAATTGATTAACAGAAAAGAAAATGAACAATATCGAAAAAAGCAAAATGACAGACTGGCAGACGTACAGAAAGACAAACTGACGAAAGACAGAGAGAGCTCGATACATAACCAGGAAAACGAATAACACAGATAAAGAAGCAAAGAACAGGACGAACAGACGAACACACAGACAGACAGAGGGCGAAGAAAGAGAGACAGTGAAAACCCATCACTCTAAGAGAAATACCCCCCTTCCCCCCTTGCCTTCCAAACCACCTGTGCAAATCTCCCCCTTCCCCCTTCCCCCTCCCTCCCCTCCTTCAGGTGTGAGCCGATCCCATCCCTTTGTACTCCTTCCCCTTGGTAGATCTTTCTTTTTTTCCCCTGTCACTTACTCCCCTCTCTCCCCCTTCTCTCATCGACCGCTCGACTTCGTACAAAAGAGGGGAAAGTGGAGGGAGTGAGGGAGTGACTGCTCGCTCACGCACGCACACTTCCATCCGCTCGGAAACAAGAAATGCAGGTTGCTAAACGAGGACGCCGACTGCGCGAGACGATGCTGGCTAAATGGTCGTCGAGAACAGGGGGAGGGAGAGAACAGGGGAGGGAGAGAACAGGCGAAGGGAGAACAATGCGTTCGGCAAGGCGCAACAAAGGAGACAGAAGAGAGTCCATGATAAAGAGAGGAAGAGAGAGAGAAGGTAAGATTCTATGTCAGAGAAAGATAAGGAAAGAAGATAGGTCTATGTCTGAAAAAGAGTATAAACAAAAATCGCTTCGACAAAAATACTCTAACTACCCGTATCAAGAATTGAAAATCATTAGTAAAACCAAACCAAATAGAAAGAAAAAGGAAGAAAAAAAAAGAAGTGAAGAAAAATAATAAAAAAGGAAGAATAAAAACAGCAAGAAGAAGAAAAATAATATAACGATAGGAGAAGAAAAAGAAGAAAAAGAAAAATTATAAAAAAAGAAGCAGAAAAAGAAGCAAGAAGTGAAGAAAATAAATAGGGAAGAAGAAAAAAGAAGAAAAAGAAGCAAGAAGTGAAGAAAATAAAAGGTAGAAGAAGAAATAGACGTAAGAAGTGAAGAAAAACAATAAAATGGGAAGAAAAAAAGAAGCAAGAAGTGAAGAAAATAAAAAAGGAATGAGAAGAAAAAGAAACAAGAAGTGAAGAAAAAAATAAAAAAGGAAGGAGAAGAAGCAAAAGGAAATGAAGAAAAACCGACCAATTTCCGAGTCCGACCCCATCTTCCATTACGCCTCCATCGCGCCCTTTTAATCCCCCCTACGGCCAATTATTTCCCTCCCCCTTCCCCTTCTTCCGTCCATACACAACGGCCGCCCGAGACAAAGGGATTCGTGGGCTGCTCGGACGCTCTGCCCCGCCGCCGCCCTGGTCGAGCACTTGCACTAAGGGCGAGGTCAGCTGATAGCGGGGTTGGTTATTAGCACTGGTTTTAGCTGGACGTCTGCGAGGCGGTTTCAGACGTCGATTTCCCCTTTAACGGCCGGTTTGTTAAAATTGTGCCAGGCCCGACCCAATGAGTTTTCGTAAATACAAACGCAGAAATAAAGGCATATCTGTCTATATATCTGATAGATAGATATTGAACTATCTATTTGCCAGGTTGATATGTATGTCTAGACTGATAAATGTGCATTTATTTCTTTATTTATACATGTCAAGTTTACGAATATTCTTTGGGTCGGGCCTCGCACAATTCTAACAAACCGGCAGCAAGTCTTGTTCATAAATTTGGGACTTCAATTGGCAAATGCTATTAGGATTGGAAACTTTTGGTTTTATCTTGATGCTTAGTTTTTTTAGAGGTTTAGAGGGTGACATTGTTTTGCTTTCTTTGGCAGATCGATGTTCGGAAAGTCTTGTGATGTATTTTGGTATGTGGACATATATTTTACATGATTGTAAGAGAAAATACGTTAAGATTGATGTACATGCGCATGCTCAGACGAAAGTATGTGGAAGTGAAACGAAAATGTAATACAGATAAAAGGACAAAATGTATTTTTAGATGTCACTGCCTGATTACGATGATAAAATATAAAGGAAAATTTTGTTTAAAGGTTTATAAGCGTACTTGGATTATGTTATTTTTTTTCTTAAAATATAGTAAAGGCAATGTTTAGCGAAAAATAAACTTTGTGGTTGATGTACTTTGCTGGGTCGGATTTGTTGCAGTCAGCATTTCCCTCGGTTATGGAATTCCTTTCTTATCAAATACATTTACTATGTAAACTAAAACTTCACACGGCGCTACCTACCATTTACCCACACTCCATTAGAAAAAAATAACTGAATACATTTAAAAATATTAGTTCCATAAAAACCGAAACAACGCTTTCACGACCGCTCAGGAACCGCCATACAAAGCGCCGCAGGAAGTCAACAACAACAAAAAAGAAAAGATATCCAGGATCCCGGCGTCTGGCAGGATTACCCTCGCTGTTCTGGGGAATCACGCCATGTTTTGTTATTCTATTTTCTGTCTGCATTCAGCTTTCGCGTGAGAATTCACTCGCGAGGCACGGTACAGGGCCTGGCGAGGAGCGAGGGAGGACGCTGCTCTTGGCTCCGGACGGCTCGGGTTTGAAGGCTCGAAGCCGCGGACGCTGTTTCCTGGGCCCCGGGGAAGGGCTTGTCCCACTGTTTGTGAGGGTATGGATAAGAAGGCTAAGTATGCCTGCTCTCTCTCTCTCTCTCTCTCACACACACACGCCTCTCTCTCTTCTCTCCTCTCTCTCTCTCACTCTCCTCTCTCTCTCTCACACTCTCTCTCTCTCTCTCTCTCTCTCTCTCTCTCTCTCTCCTCTCTCTCTCTCTCTCCTCTCTCTCTCTCTCTCTCTCTCTCTCTCTCTCTCCTCTCACTCTCTCTCTCTCTCTCTCACACACACACACTCTCTCTCCTCTCTCTCTCTCTTCTCTCTCCTCCACATCTCTCTCTCTCTCTCTCTCTCTCTCTCTCTCTCTCTCTCTCCTCTCTCTCTTCATCACCACACACACACACACACATGTATATATATATATATATATATATATTA